CCCCCTCCCCGGGACGTAGGCCTACTGTCTAACACAGCTCCTTGGTGCCACGCGATGGAGAAGTTTAATAAGCGCAGATATAAATATCTATGGTTCGATCACTGAGCTGTATATAATAACAGTTATTATATACAGCTCAGTGGGTTTCGATAAATATAAAATAAGTCAAAAGCAAATCTAACGCGACGAATTATGACGTCATGTAAGTAAAATGGTTTCTATTGGGTGGCAGTTAACTGTAAAGCTCGAAGCCTCGAAGGCTCGAAGCGATAATCAAAGATGTCTGCGCCCTGTGATATTTCGTGCTTGTGACATGAATTTAATCTCTTTCAATGCGGAGTAGGTCCTTCATGCTTACCTACCCCCTAATTTTAACAGCATATAACAGCCGAAATAATCATGGTTTTAATTGGACGCACTTTGACTGCGGCGAGTAAGGTAGGAAATATGTTCCTGCAAACTACAGTACGGTAGTACTAGTAGAGTACGGGCTCATACTACTACTACTACTACCTACTAGTACTAGTACTACTAGTAGTAGTACTACAATTTACAAACCCATATGATCCCTTACCCATGCCTTGATCCTTGAGCTAAGCTCTTCTGTCAGTTCTGAGTCTTTCGTATCGTACTGGTAGCCAGGCACTAGTCTCACAGCTGTGAGACTCGGCTGCTCTGCTTTTCACTGTGAATGACCTGAGCCACAGGCTGGAGAACCAAGAACAAGTACTGATATGAAGTAGACGTACCACAATAAACTACTTTATAAATTAAATTACGATGCCACAAGAGGGAAGACTGGGATGGATTCAAAAATGGGTGACAAAAAGAAAAAAGACACCAAATTGTAGTGTTAGATGGTAAACACTCAAGAAAAGTACCCGTCAAATCAGGAGTCCCCCAGGGAACATTCCTTGGTCCTCTCCTGTTCCTCGTTTTCATAAACGACATATGTAATGACATCAACTCAACACTCCGGCTGTTTGCAGATGACTGTCTCACCTACAACCCCATTAAAAGTGCAGCTGATACAGAGCTTCTTCAAAAGGACCTTGACAAACTGGTTCAGTGGTCCAATACCTGGCAAATGTCTTTCAATCCGAAAAAGTGCACCAACCTCTCGATATCAAGGAAACATACCCCAATAAAACAGACCTGGGAACCAAGCTCAAAGGGGAGAAACATCAACTCTACCTCGGCATGAGGCTCACTGATGACCGCTCCTGGTCTACCCACATCAGCCGGTTGAAAGGAAAGGCAACCCGGGCCCTCAACTTCATCTGCAGGAACCTTGTAGGATGCCCAGAACCTGTAAAAGAGATGGCCTACAAAGCATGCTTGAGGCCAAGTCTCGAGTATGCAAGTAGTGTCTGGGATCCACACTCTCAGAAGGACATCTCTTCCTTGGAGAAAGTGCACAGACAAGCAGCACGCTTCGTAATGGGAAATTACCAGCAAACTGAGAGTGTCACACAAATCATCGCAAACCTACAATGGCCCTCCTTGCAAGAGCGCAGATTCGTCAACCGACAGATCCTATTCTGGAAAACAATTAACGGACAGGCAACAGTGGACATTCCATCCTCCCTCACCAAAAGCACCAGCATATGCCGCGGCACACACCGGCTCACATACAACAACATCAGAACCTGGACAGATCGTTACAGGTACAGCTTCTTTCCAAGAACCATCAGAAGCTGGAACCTGCTACCAGAGTCGCTGCTCACTAATCTAACAGCACAGTAGTTCACCAGGTCTCTGTGGCAAAACATTGAGTCAGGCAGTATCATTGTCAAGCCACCTCGAGGAAGCGAAACACATCTCCGGCTGGGCAACTACAATAGCTCTCAACAGCCCATTGCCGTATGCTAAAGTCGCACTCAGTGATGAGTGCCTGGCCCAGAGAAGCCTTGATCTCTGGAACACGTTACTGTTTATATGTAAAAATTCCCTAGTCTAATCTTTCACATGCATCTAGAGTTGTGCACTCCCTTGACGTTATTCCTCACGAACTGTCCAGTATAAAAGTAGAAGTAGAAGTAGTACAACTGTGGCCCCAAAAATTTAATTCCATAAATTCACTGGGCCGTTATGATCTATTTACTATCATGTTCACTAGTCTATTGCCAATGACATTGGTGTGGTGGCTGAAGTGGGGTTTGTTTGCTAAGTGGCGAAATCACCGAGGGCTATATATTACTAGTGCTAGTGTTGTGCCTACTCTAGCCCATACACATTTTCATTGTACACTCGATTATTTTTCTGTCTTGCCTCGCTTTTCCACTTTCCCCACTCTTCCCCCCCCCCCTATTCTGTCACCAATTATCCAATAATGAAGGCTAGTATTGCGTGCTTCGTTGGCAAAACTGATGTTGCAGTACTAGTGGTAGTTACCTCCGCCCAACGGAGTTGGAGGAGGTTATGTGATCGGTCTCGTGTGTTCTCGCGATCGATATTAGCACGTCGAGTCAGCGAGCCAGCCAGCCAGCCAGCCAGCAGCAGGCCAGTCAGTCAGCAGCAGCCAGCAGCGAGCGGCGAGCCAGCTCGTAACACATACATGTTACATGGGGCGTATGGCGTATGTTGCTGGCGGAGGTATGCACTCTCCGTGAGTGCCCTGTCTAGTTGTAAATGAGCCTCTAATCACACCTTTTACATTCAAGAGCTATACAATGGTGCTGACATCATTACAGTTAATTGGTGTTTAGCCTGACATTTCTAGCATGTTCGAGCGCACATGTTCTATATGTTTTCCAGACTGGTTCCCATGTTGGTGGAGGAAAGTTTGCAAAAATTAGATCGAAATTTGTTGATACACTGAGGATCTATGTTCGTGGTGGACCTGGAGGCATGGGCTTACCTCGACAAAGTGGAGTTGGTGGCAAAGGAGGTGCCGTGTATGTTCAAGCTACACATCAGATAACGTCATTGAAGGCAGTGAAAGATGCATTTCCTGAAAAGCGCTTCGTAGGTGGAGCTGGTGGCAACAGCAAGTATGTAATCCATAATTTTTCATAAACTAATTTCACATGTGTGCATACAATTGTGCATGCTCACATATTTGAGTGTATTGAAGTGCATCTATGTAATCTGTGTACATATGTGTTGGATTGTAATTTTAAAATAGATATAATTAACTATTGCAATTCCAGATCCAGAAAAATATTAGGGGAGAGAGGAAAGGATGTGCTGATCCCTGTTCCATTGGGAGTGACTGTTATGACAGATAATTGTCTAATGATTGGTAAGTAATAGCCAATTGTCATGCATTTACTACAGCATTACCTAATGTAGTACTACTATCTAAATAAGAATTAATGAATTTTAATGCATATAGCTAGTATAGTAATATCGTCGAAGCTCAAGGTTTACTTGGGCCTACTGTTATATAGAGGTAGGTTCAGAAGAAAATTGGTTGGGCAAAGGAGTTGCAGAGTATAATGCTAATAACTTGAAGAGTAGTAGGATACTATGAACCAACAAAGTAGAAAAAAAGCGTCATGCATGCTCAGGTATTACTAATAGTGATGAAAATAATTGACCCTTTTTTTATCATATTTTTCTGTATCCACCTCAAATTTTTTTTCGTCTGTTAAAACACAAGAAGCTAAACAATTATGCACATAGATCAGGGTCTTCCTCAGGAATTTCAGAAGGCATGTCATTTATGAAGAAATGGGAGAGGGCCAGCGAGGGGAGTGCACCAGTTGGAGTAAATTGTGCATGTCATATGTGGTCCCTATACACAGATAAACTCGATCAATTCGGAGACATATACATCAAGCTGTAAAGACACAAGATATACATATCTGATATTATACAAGGCTCTCCCCCGGTCTATGGGCCCTATGCATATGGGGTCCAACATGCCTTTAAAGCTGAAACTAATTTGTGGCATCCCATGAATGCTCTGACATGCCTTAATTGCCTAATCAACTTGCGTCAATTACCAGGTGCATTTACTTTTGATAGTCCCAACTCGAGTCATGCTGTGGTTTCACAGCTTGATGTATAAATCTCTGAACTTATCAAGTTTACCTGTGTATCATATGTGGGCCACTCATGACATATGTATTGGTTCAACCCCCTCCTGGGCTCTTCCCTGTCTGTCCACAACCAACATGAAATTCCTAGGAAGAACGCACACAATCACGCATGCACGCATGCATGCATGCACACACACACACATATACATATGACATACATATATAAAAAATCATATAGCTCGATCATGATTACTACATAATTATCTCCCATGAATTTAGGTGAGGTCCTAGAGGATAAAGATAAACTTCTAGTGGTTCCAGGAGGAGAAGGCGGTGCTCCTCAAAATGGTTGGAATGGCTTGAAGGGAAAGGCTATAAATCTGACACTAGATTTAAAAGTCATTGCTGATATTGGACTAGTTGGGTAAATTAATTTATACTTCTTCGCCATAAACTACCTTTAGTTAGTTACTTGCTGTATAATATTTATGTACAGTTTATCAGCTTACTTATTGTCTATATTGTTGTTGGTTTTTGTTATAAGTGATAGATAACATTTATAATTTATTAATGTGCACATTTAGATGGCCTTTGTGACTTTTCACAAGAGGTATTATTGATGCTGATTTGATATCAATTCATATAGGTTTCCTAATGCCGGTAAATCGACCTTGCTGAAGGCCATCTCTGGAGCAAAACCCAAAATTGCTAATTATCCATGTAAGCTATAATTTCAGAAGTGGATTATATAATTTATCTTACTTATCTTACATATTATGGTCTTATTATGTCCATTTTGATAATATTGTAATATGTCTAAATACAATTAACTTACAAGAAATGTTCACTTCATGTACAACACAGATTCAGTTTGATTTATGTAATAGAAACAAAAATAACAATTCTGTATTGTTATTGGTTTAGTTACAACGATGAGACCAGAAATTGGTACAATAAAATACGAGGATTTTCGACAGGTATAGTACATTTAGCTGCTATGAACTACATTTTATTTGTCAAATTTAATCATTTAAAATTGTAGAATTACTCCTGTAATCAAGAATAATATTGTTCCAATAACTGGTCATGCAGATATGGCAATTAAACTATTTGTAAACAAAATAATGCGAGCCATTCTTTCTTTATCAATTCATATCATGAAAAAGTTACATCCGGAGTCAATCTTTACCTTTCAACTAACTGGCCAATCTCTTGCTGTAAGATAACCGTGGCTGACCTGCCAGGTCTGATAGAGGGTGCTCACATCAATATTGGGCTTGGCTACAAGTTCCTGAAGCATGTGGAGCGCACCAAGCTGCTGCTTCTAGTGGTTGACATCAATGGCTTTCAGCTCAGCCAGAAGAACTACCATCGGAGTGCTATTGAGACAGTCCTCTTGCTGAATAAGGTCAGTGAGACCAATGCATCACTATTATCTTGATACTCCTGAAGTCAGTGTCACTACTTCTTTGTGACCTTATACATCACTATTATCTTGATACTCCTGAAGTCAGTGTCACTACTTCTTTGTGACCTTATACTTGGTCACATATGTAGC